GCACTATTATAATTAAAATACATTGAAAATCTGGATACAGAAAAGCAAGGATTTTTGTAGAAGAGAGATTTCAGTGTTCCTCCTCCTGCCGAAGTGCCATTGAAGTTGATAGAATTCCTTTTTTATTATGTTCGTTTTTCTTTAAATTTCATTGATTTTTTTTAATTGGTGTATTGCTTGTTTGAAGAGCTTTTGTTTTAAAAAATTTTTAATTCTTTTTTGCATTTATAGGATTATTTGAAATTTTTCACTTATGAAATAAAATTTTTGGTCTTTACGAAAAACTAATTCTAAATTTCTTATTTTATATACATATACACCCTTAAATTTTATCGGAGCTACTAGCAGTTGGTGAGATAACGAATTTCGAGCTCCAGAAAAGGATCTCAAAAGCATCTCTCGAGATGAAGGTGGCACTGCCCATAGTAAGTCTTTGAAGTCAAATTTCTCAATAAAATGGTAGATTTTTGTACCGAGTTTAACCGAAAAGCATTCACAAAATGACATTAGAATACTAATGACACTCAAGCTAATTTTAGTAAATGATTAAAAGGTTTAATCACAGCTACGCTGAGGAAAATTAATATAACTTAAGACGCGTAATCAAAAATTCTTTATTCAACTTGTCGATTTAATAGCGGCATTGAAGCGGCAAAACATTGATATTCATCACATTTTACAATGAACTGGCGTAGATGACGTGGAGGGCGCGTAATCAGGTGGGAATGCCATTTAACTTTTGCTGGAAAATCTGAGGAATCATTCTTGCGCTTACTTCTGCATGTGTTGGACTGCTGATCTAATCGATTCTGGTACAAGGCAGATTGCAATGGCCTGACTGCTCGGAATGAATATCTCTGAAATTGCACAATTCGAGGGTTGTTCCTGACCTACCATTGTTAGTAGTACTTACGCAAATGACAATTCACGATTCATCACATCGATGGCCGTATTAGGATAAGCCATCTCCCAGGCGAATATTTGCTTCCCCAATGTACTGCAGGTCACACACGGGCTAGTGGTGGCGGCAATTATGCTTTTGGGGACGTTTTCATGAGAGTCTCTGGGATCTTTGATTGTGGTAGAATAGAATATCGGAAAGTTGCGTATATCTCAACATCATTGCGAACCAGTTGTACCCTTGCCCTGCTGTCTTCCCAATTGGAAAGGCAGTAGGGCAACGTTCCATGTCACAAGGCTCAAATTGTGCTAGAGTGGTTCCAGTAGCATAATGATAAATTCCAGTTCATGTCCTGGTCGCTTAACTCGCCGATCTTAATCCAATACAGCACATTTGGGATGTCATGGAACAATAGCTTAAAGTCACCAAGTCGGAAAATCCTGGATTTGGGTGACCGCTGCTTAAACATCTGTCACGATCTATCCCGGGTCAACCAAGCACTTACATTTGTTGCAATAACATTATTCACAGACCCGCATTTAACTACTGAATAATGACACCGATTGCGCAACACTAAAAGAGCAGCAACAAAGTTCCACATCTGCCCACTAGATGTGTTACTCCCAAGCTGTTATTGCAAATAATATGCAATGTTATCATTAATTAAGGAAAAATCACAAAAATGAGGATTACTCAAAAAGTTACATGTAAAATTTAATAAAACTGACTTACAGTACATAGCAAGGTATAAAATGAGATGAAAAGAAACTACCAGACAATTATGGTGTTATAGAAATTAACATACGTATAAAATGAACAAATCGGATGTGTCACTTTGATAAAGGAAAATTACCTTGATATAAATTACCTTGTAAAAAGTATGATCTCCCCTAAAAGCAATGCAACACATACAGCGATATGAGATGTTGTCAATTGTACAACTATCAGTTCCGTAGGAAGTGATAGGCATAGCTCTTGCAAAACAGTTACATGTCATTTCATATCTCTATATCCTGAGCATTCATGGTTCTACGTGGAAAGACATAGAGATCTGTGCATCCACCCAAAGAGATGCCACCTCAAACACAGACACTGCCTCCTCCGTATGCATCCCTTTCACGGATGTTTGACGCATGATAACGGGTGCCAGGTCCTCTCTAAATCAAATCACGCCCATTATCGTTTTGGAGGCTAAACTTGGATTCATCCATCAAGAGAACAGTTCTCCACTGATCAACTGTTCAGTGGATGTGTTGATGTACCCCCTCAAATTCCTCAATGACGTGACGTGAGCGGCATGCAAATGGCTAGTACAAACCTCCTTCGTGAAGCCTTCTATGTACGGTTGACGCTGACACCAATCTTCCAGTAGTTGCAACATTGGGTATCAAGTTGAAGTTCCATTCCTTCGTGCGCATAACAACAAATATCAGTCATCAGCGTTCGTCGTAGCTGTTGGCCGTCCTTGGCTGAACCTCCTGGATGCCGAATCTGCGATTAGAAATTGTTGCGAAAGGAAGGACATCAGATTTAGCCATCTGGCCACTTCTGCCTCTAGTCTCCCAAAAGCTGTCCATCGCAGTTCTTCGGGCAAATGATGCTTGGAGGTCATTGTTACAAATTGGTACCCCAGATTTCTTATCTCAATGAAATTTGAAGGCTTGCTCTGAAACATGCAATTCTATGCTCCTCGCAGATGACGTATTTCGATTGCAGCTTGATTAATTTGCATACTACAGTTTTACTCAACAATTCTTATTTGATAACACATTCAAAATTTATATGCATTGGCTTATTTTTGAACGAGTTGTCGATACTTCTGTGACTTTTCCGCAGCTTCTGGAAACCAGTGTACTATATACCGGGCTGGTGTCATAAAATCTTAAGACATACTACGTAAATAAGTCTTAATTAATTTTACTTTGGAATATGATCTTTCACCGCTTGAAACAGTAACAGACAAAGTCAATAATATTCTTAATGAAAGAAAAAATAAATCGCTAAATTTAATTAACTTCAAAATATTAAAAGGATTTTGAGTTTTAAAATTTACCTTTGCAAATATATTTAAAAGCACAGATCCCCCCCAAACTGTTACAGTGTTTCTGATAAATTGCAATTTATCAATTTCTGATAAATTGCATATGAAACTAAAATTACCACAGCGAAATTTTAGCGATTAAAAGCGTTCACTTAAGGATGTGCATGAAACGTCTAAAAATCTATATAAATACATAATTTTAAGTTTGTCTTTTACACGTTAATCGGCTTAAATGTTCATTTTGAAACTTATGTGTCTTGCCTTCGTCGGATTTTAACAGCAGATTTAAATTCAAATTCCCCATCTATATATTCGCTAAATTTTTTGGCAATTTTATGCATACTGTTGTAATTAGAATCTGATCTGTTTTCCAATTTGATCAATATCCTACTGAAGGGAAATAGACAAGTACATTCTGAAGCACATTTAATATTCAGTTTCATTTTGAAGCTGTTTAGTGGAAAGATTTATTCTTTTAAGCATATTGTGCCAGATTATCACAGAGAAAATAAGTTTAACAATCTTCAATTTTAACACACAGATTATGCGTTTCATATTATACTGCTTTATTAAAAATGTTGTCGTTCATTATTTCATAAAATGCGTCGTAAATTTCTCACATCTGATATCTTAATTTGCTTTCCTACTGGTTATCTGATAGCTGCGTCAACCATGAACTAGATATCAGAATAGGATTCAAAGGAACTGCTCAAGTCTTTGTTGATGAAGCTTAATTTCTAAGTTAGATATGCCGGAGCGCTACGTAAGACCGTCAGGAAAAAGGAACAAGAATAAATAAGCAAAAATGACTAATAATTAATATTAAAAAACTGAACAATTAATTATCAGAATAATTAAAATTAAAATTTAATAAAATGTAAAAAGATAAATAAAAAGTTATTAAATAGATAGTAAATAGTTAAATAATAAAATAAAGTACTGGACCTTGACATTATTTTAGGTTCTGGCTGTAATTAAAATTTCATGCAGAAACCAAGAAATAAATCGACCGGTCTCTGGTTGAATTTAATCTCTGAATGTACTTCACGGGCTGACAGAAATAAATCAATGAAAAACGTTAAAATGCTTAAACCGTCACCAATGAGACTAAAGAGAATACTAAATTTAGGTAAAAATAACACGCCGAACAAATATTAATTTAGAAATTATAAGGTATTTCTCCCACCTTCTTGGCATTCCTTTGTGGTGTGGTGGTCTGCACGCTGGGCGCGTAATTCCAGAGTGAGATGGAGAATCCTTGAAAGTATAGTAGTATGAATCTTCTGTTACAAATATTGCAACTCCCCATCAATTCAAGCATTTTTGTTCATAGCGTATTAATCACTACACTACTTGAATCACAGTAAATCATACAAAGCCGTTTTCAATTTTAGATTAAGATCAGAATGAAATTTTTTATTGATTTACTTCAAATTGAAGTTAATTTTAATAACATTATTAGTATTGCCACCTGAACGTTTTTTCACCCCGATAATCTACTTTTTCTAGTAGTCCGCCAAGTGCTGGTTTGATTGACTGATTGGTTTTTCAAAGATTTCTGCCAGAAATTAATCCCATTACTTAGGTTTAAACTAATATTAGGTTTCATTATTGTATATAATAATCATAAATAAATACTTTCATTAATAATTTGAATCTTAATTGTTCGTTATATTTAGGCAGTTACTCACTATACATCAGAAATTACCAGTAAAAAAAACCGCTAATGAAAAGTCACCTTAACTCGAACGGTGAGGGAAAACACAATTTACTCACAATCGTGTCCAATTCCCCCCCTTCCCCGGAAACCTTGGCTAGACGCGTAAACTGTGAAATAAATCTTTTCAGGAGATGTTTTTAAATATCTTTGACGGATTATGTCAAGTCAAATTTGCTTTGTATTAAATAAGCTAAGCATCAGATACATTAAAGGCTCTAGTTATATTTTAATATGCACTCATGTACAAAATTTCCTTTAAATGCATGAAGTCATGGATTTCTCAGAAATTGTGAACTATAATTTTATGAATTGTGTGAAACGATATTAACATATAAGAAAAAGTTTAGATCTCTGTTTATTATACAGAACTATACAAAATACAAATAGTAATAATATGTTACAAGCAGAGTTCAGAGGGATTAAGGCTTATGAATTTAATACGGAATGTGATCTCCTTTGACCTGTACACACATATCCCAATGCGTTTTCATGCTTGCAATAATGCTGTTAACCAAAAACTTGGGAGTATTAAGTTCCACTACAAGAATGGGATCTAAGGCCATTCACAACCATCTGTAAGAGTAAGATGTCTCCGAGCAGCTGCTTTTCCTAAGTAAGGCCAAAAGCTCTTTATCTGGTTAAAATCAGGAAATTTTGCTGGGTACGGTATTCGCTCAATACCTTCACTTTCAAGGAATTCGTCAGCGGAGTTTGCTTGATGTGGAAGAGCATTATCGTCTACGCATAAAAAGTCAGATCCATATGCACCTCTGCAAAGTCTTACGTTCTATACAACGTCTCACATCTAAGTTCTATGGCAGGGATTCCCAACCTTTTTCTTCCATTGGCCTCCTTTAAAAGAATGGCTTTCTTCGTCGATCCCCTTATAGTTTTCTCTGCAATGTATAACATAATTATAATACAAATAATTGCACATAAGTGGAGTAAAGAATAACAATTAGACAAAGAATATGAACAAAATTTTTGAAAAAAAAATAGTTCAAAATCACAGATTCTATAAAATTTCTATTTAAATCAATTGGATGGTTAGGCATGTGTTTTGAACATGTGTGCTGAAACGTCTCCCTTCAATGTAACAAACTGTTCTTGCATCATAAGCCATTGATATATTTTCTCCTTCCTCATTTTATATAATTTCTTCCTTCCTGTGTGGTAGATCTTCATATTAATAAACAATTAATTGTAAATTTTATTAATGAATATTTTTTGGTCAATGGAATCTTCGTTGTGCCGATCTGTTGTCAATGCACATTCGACTATCGATCCCCTTCATCATTACCACCCCCCTTTAAAATTTCATCGGCTCCCAGGGGCTCAATATCGACCCCGTTGGGAATCCCTAAGACCTCTCCTGATATCTCTGTTCGATAATTATTCGTCCCCATACTATCAAACCTGCATTACCGAAACGGTCACGTTCCATAATATTCGAAGGAAGATTTCATGTTTCTGATAACTCTATAACGGACGTTTGTAAAAACACGTTTAAAATCAGATGTTAAATTAAAACTTGACTCATCTTTGAAGAGGACATGGGGCCATTTTTGCACCAATTCACCCTTTGTTGTGAAGATAGTGAATCACATATTCTTATTCTTGGCCTTCTGGTAGAAAGGCCTTTAAGTCTTCTGCATACAGTTTACTGTGATGCAACTGTTCCAGTGGCGGCTGCAAGCTCTGAACTTAACTGTCGACTTCCTGTTGGTTCTGTTACGACAGGCAGTTATTGCCAGATATTGATCTTGAGAAACGGTTGTTATCCATTTACAACCATATCCAGGTCTCCTTACAACAGTTCCAGAGTTTTGAAACTCGTTCTATAGCGTACCAGACTGTCCAGTCTTGAAATATTCACACCTCTCACTGCTTCCATGATTGTCAGCTCTGCTTCTAAACGGTTGATGATCACAGATTCTTACAAATGATACTTTGGAGCCATAACAAAGTGTTTTGAGTCCTTACAGACTGAAATCAAATGCTGTATTGCAGAAATTCACTCAGATATTCATTTTGCGCAAAGCGCTTGATTTGAATATCAGAAATCATTTGATCACTTTTGATTGGATAATGCTGCCAAGCATAATTAGCATCCCTAGCAAAAAAAGAATTCCATCGAATGGCTATTTCATGGAATATCATTATTTTTGGGTGCGTAAAGATAAATTTGGACATTTGACTTTTTTAAAAAAAATATAATTACTGTAAATCTCACTTTTAAGCTTTGCGATCAATTGAGTTTAATGCTAATTTATGGCTATCATAAAACACGAATGACCTCCCAACATTGAGGCAAAAATATGGAGCTTCTGAAGTTACTTCTAGTGTTCATGAGTTTGAAAATATAAATGAAGGAAGGAGAAAGAAGATTGCAGGGAGAAGAATAATAAAGGTTTTAGGATTTTTTCAAATCAAGACAGTCTAGTAGCAGGAACTCAGTAGAAGCCTACAGGACAAGTAAACATGAAAGTGAAGTTAAAAATGAAATAACAAGAATAACCACAGTGAGGCACTAAATTTTTACATGAATTCTTAAACTGCACAGATAAATAAGCTGAGTTTGAATTTAATGCTATCATAGCTTTAAACAAATCATAGCTACACAGTCTGCCATCAATAGCCTACAGATATTTTCTGCCTCTCAATTTTGTCGCCTGGTGCCATCGCAAGGCCTCCGGCGCCTGTCCTAAATACACGCCAATTTTATTATGCAAAAATATTCTAATGATATTTTACATTATATATTTGTATAAAATGCAATTTCTGTCATTACATAATTTTCTGTTTTAATTATTTTTTATTTCTCTGCAAAGATTCGGTGCATAAAAACATAATTAATTTATAAAAATTCACGTGGTTGATAGTATCAGAGAAGCGTCTGGAAGGGCCTTTTATAGGCCCACTTCCGCCGGCTCTAGTCTCCCGAACAGTCTATCTTTTGGAGAAAAGGAATGGAATGAAAATCAGACGATACCCTTCTACGAAAGGTTCAAACAATGATATTTTGATGGGCGGTTCCAATTTTCAACAGTGGGAGAGAAATTCTGAGTTTCTTTCGTGAAAGATGTCAAATTGATCAGACCGGGAAAAAGATATTTCTGCTACTATACATCCGTATGTATATTTTACGTGTATGTTACTTAAAAAAAAAAAAAAAAAAAAAAAAAAAAAAAAAAAAAAAAAACTATGAATTCTAGCAATTCATTTCTATTCAAATGATTAACGAATTACTAACGAGCATATAAAAATTAATTTTTACTTTTAAAAATGAACAACGAAGCCTCGTGGGTTTATTGAGATCAATCACCACAATGACCAAAAAAATTAGACCGACAGCTTTAAGAACAGAATGATTGTTTATTTTTTTATGATTTCGGAGCACCCTTTATAAACAGATTTCACTGAGCAACTTTGAAGTCCACAAGGATAAAAGAACGAACTGCGAAACTGAATATTGAGGCAAATTACAAAAATGAAAAGATCTGACAAACAAACTAATATCATCAAACTCGTAATATATAACTCAAAACCTTGCGCTGAAGAGAAAATAAAATGACACATAATTTATCCAGCGTCTTTCAGTTTTCCACCATAAGTTCTTTTTTTCTGGTTTTGGGCGATGGCAAAATTGATGATGAGAGTATCTATACTGTGATCTCTTTTGAAGTCGCAAAACAACACATTACGATTAGCGGGCTTCGGCTGCACACAAAGCACAGGCAACATTTGCTACTCGGCCGTGCGTACTAACATATTGTTTGCATGGTACCAAGACGCCTCCCGGCTACATCAATTCATTTTCCCACAGACCGAACAGATGTGGTTATAAAGGCATAGTTTACCTTGTGGTGAAGAAATATCTTTGAACACACAAATGCAGACACAGTGGGAACACCACATATTTTCTTCAGGCGTATACACACTGATGTCACAATTCCGTAAGCATCGTCACTGCAATGAATCGTCTCAAGACTGTAAAAGGTTTCACCGCAGGTCTCAAAGTAATGGCTGCCTATTGTATGAGAAAGCAATCTAAAGCCTCCCTAGTGGCCGAAAATAAAAGTAATGATTGGCGCTAATAAAACCTTTTATGCTTTTGATCAGATCGTGACGATATTCATGGTGTCATATAACTTTTTTGAAGCTTGGGAGGTCCTTTTTAGGTCGTCTAAAAATTATTTCTCGACGTTTCCAACGAAAGCGTTTTCAAATTTTGTGATTCTCAGTTTCTCTATAAGTGTTCTAAGATGTACATTATACATATAAGTTTAATATACAGATGTGATACACATACGAATACACATTTCATCTAAAACAATAACTTCTAGTAAAAATTTCAAAACAAAACAGTGAAGTTCTATTTTGTCAAAAGATAATCTATCTACTTTTTTAGCAACGGTTTCTATTATTAGAATGTTAGAAGTCATTTACATAACAGCTTAAAGAACGAAGGGGGGGGTCGCGAATCATTTTCGCTAACATATTTTTTCTGTTATAATGAACATGGTGATTTTTCTAACAACCCCCTTTATCAGCAACTTTTCATTAGAGCAACCTTGAGATTCTCAGGTATGATATCCCCATTATGTTTCCCAAGTAAAAGTTTTAATCCAGTAAGGCACTAAAATGTATTCAATAAAGCCATTAAATTCTTTCTTTGAAATATCAAAAGATCCTATATTGAAATACGTAACATAAGACATTAGGAACGTTACGGTCATTAAAATAATATTTGAAATGTTATTAACTGCCAATTGAGTAATTTGTATCCAAGTATATATCGTTGCTATTAAATCACTCATTTTTTAAATTAATAGAATTTAAAACAAATATTTTTAGGTCTCGTTGAACTGAAAAAAAAAAAAAAAAAAAAACATTTGATTCAAGATCTTGGTCTCAAAATGTTCAGCACTGAGATTCTGGTACTTAGGCGAATGCGGAACAATTTGCTGAAAAAAATTATTAAACGCTTTTGTTCAACGAACTACCATCAGACGTGTTTTCCTACCTCCATTTTTTGTTAAAAATGAAATTTACTTTGCTTGATTTTGTCGAAATATCCCGTAAAGATCGAATGCATTCTACACTGACACAAGTCTTAAGCTATGCTGTTTTTCAAAATGAGATCAACACCCATTTCTATCCTTGGCCTATTCAAAGTACCTTAAAAAGGAATATAATAAGGCTAAGAGTTTTGAAACACATTATGAAGTTTGTTAAGCGGGAAAGTAATTCTGAATCTTAAAATAGTAGCATTTTTGATGGGTCTTAAATTAGATTCGAAGCTTCCATGTACCTTCCGGACAACAGGAACGCTAAGGCATATCAAAAGTACAGAATTTTATTCCACTTTGCCCAGCTAGGAATAATCATACTTTCTGCAAGGACTCGGTGTTAAGTGATAGACATTAACTGGATATCCAGATGACAGCATTACATATCAGATTCGACTTCGATGAAGCAGTTTTTCCATTCTCTAAACAGACTCGGTTGCTGTCAAACACTTCAAGGAATCTTTCCATAAGTATTTGCAAAGACCAGAGCAGGAATCTTTATCATATTTTAAGTTGACGAAACTCAAGGAATTTCCCTGAACTGATTACGATAGAAAAAGAGACTTACGATCACGTCCTTCTGAAGAAGATAATGGAGCCGCGGTCTTTAGTAGTATTCCAAGGCTTTAAACTGCATTAACTCTCTTGAATAACAAAAATATTGTCAAAATATGGACACCTATAATCCCGAGATCTCCGTACAAGCTAAAACGGCACTGTTTAGGACAAGGGTGGGCAAAAGCCAGCCCGGAGACCGGATTGCGGCCCTTCCAATTGCTAAATCCAGCCCGTTATGAAATTCTGTGCAATGCCATTTTCATAGC